ACTACATCTTAATCCTCATGTCACTGAGAAACTTGCTCCAGGGTATTTCTCCTCCAAATCCTTCCCTCCTTCACTCCCTCTGCAGCCTTTTTAGGAGGAAGTTCTGGCTCTTTTAAAACCATGTTCCTGTGAAAAGCCATGGAGAAAGGAAAAGAATTTTCATCCAATATATCTGGTTTCAGAAATGACCTTTATTAGTGAGACTGCTGACCTTAATTTAAAGCAAGAGTTGCCAGTGAAAATGCCTCGGTTTGAGTGTCAGATGAACTAATGAGCTTTATGGTGTTAGTAACAGTAGCTCCTGGTATCCCTGGAGCKTTGCCAGGTGCCATGGCTGTGGCTCATAATGAGGGTTGTGCAGGAAACAATGAAATCTTCTGAATCTAAGGCAGGGGTTCAATGCCTGTTTCTAGAGAAAGTTCTTAAATTTCTTTACAAAAAAACTACAACAAAACCAAACAAAACCAATAAAAAATAACTCCCCAAMTCTCCTGTTTAATACAAGAGCAGTTGRTGAGARCTACATGAKGASTCAGAAAGTGTTCATACAACTTCARCCATGTCTTCCTTGATGCRCATGAGGGATTGGGACCATTACAGTCTCAAACCTTTCTAAAGCTTTGAGCAGAGTCTGGAAAGCTTACACTCATCTGCTAAAGTAATGAGGGTGGGWTGGCMGTRGAAGAACTCAGAAGAAAATCTCCTSAAATTTGCCRTTCTTTTTCCTTCTTAGAAGTGGCCAGAATGGCAAACARTACTAAAATTAGAATTTATTTTCAGTTGTTAAGAAAAGGATTTCGCTAGCATGTGAGATGCTGTACCAAAGCTTGTAGTATCCTTTAGAATTAAATTGACACTCTACAAGGTAACTTGAGTCCTCAAGTTCACAGAGGAGTTGCAGTGTACTCTCCTGGGTGTCTGTCCTTGCCATATTTAAAGTATCTTTATCCAGAATTGGAGGAGCACATGAAGCAAAGTCATAGGCTGAGCTGTCTTTTGTATCTTCCCAAGGACTTGACCTTGAGTGCTGTTGATGGCTCTTTAAACTCTCTTCTGAAGGTTTTCTTCTAATTCGTTTCTAACCATTTCTCTCACCATTTCTGTGGTTAGAGTACTAAGGTGCTGTTGTGGACAGACAGTTATTTCATTCCGTAGACAAAATGAAGAGTCTGACAGATATGGAGACAACCTCTTTAGAAGAAACCTTGTAGAAACTTTTTTCCTTCTTTGGAGTCACTTTGAGGTTTCTCAGCTCTACTGCCATCTGTAAACTTAGCTCAGTCTTCCTTAAATCCTTTTAAAGGAGGGAACAGCTCACAATAAAAGGAACTGATGTCAAAATTGGGTTTTTAAGATATGTGCATCTGTGCATGAATTGGTTGTRGAGAAATGCTGGTATATTGAATGTGTATTTAAAATATTTCTCCAGTCTTCTCCAGCCACAACTGTTACATCTCCTAGTTCTACTCCAGCAAAAACTATCGATACATCTCCTCCAGTTGATCTTTTTGCAACTCCATCTACAGCTGCTCCAGTCAGGTAAGTTAAAAAGTGTATTTGAGTTGCTGAGCTTCATGTAGGTACCAAAGTCATACTTGTAACAGGAGGCTTGCCTGAAAGGCTTTGCTTATTTTACAGGCAGTTTACATCAGAATTTAATGGGCCACATTATTCTGCCAGAATAGATCACAAATAAACTCTAACACAACTCAAAAAAAAAGCTGTACAGAAATTTTTAATCAATAGACTGAAGTAATGTGCTAATCCAGGGTAGTCTGTGTTGACCTTCAGAATTCTCTTTCTAAAATTGCTTAGTTAATATTCCCTTTTCTTACTTTTCAAATCAGTTAATCAAGCACAAAGATAATGAGTTTCTGAAGGTTAAAATAAAAAATAAACATTTACCGATGAGAAAATTAGAACCTTGCTTTCATGTCAAAACCAGAAGTCCAGTTGCTCATTGCAAAGAGCAGAAGTGATTGAACTCTAAGAGGTGTAAAAACTTTAAGCTTGAACYAAAAATCTGTAAGATGTAACTGATTTAAGGGTCAGATGAAGAACTTCACTCAAGAAAGAGCTTCTATTGTTTGTTATTTAAATGTAATGATGAACAAGGTCTGGTTTCCTAAGTAAATACCTCACTGGCTTAACTCATAGAACTTTTGCCAATTCTCTTCTACCTAATGCCTGTTAATTGCCTGGAAATGCAGGTCTCCTGCTTTCTGACATGGCATGGTGAAATATGAAAGTAGAATGGTTCTGTTTTCAGTCACAGCAGTCATTTTCTCTGGTTTTAGGGACCACCTGGGATACTGCATTTTCTAGTTTAGGTGTTGTGGTGGGGTTTCTTTTGGTTTGGTTAGTTGGTTTTAGGTTGGGGATTTTTTTTTTTGTTTGATTATTTGGGTTTTTTTAAAAAATAGTTAGTCTTGTAGATCTGTTGCAATGTCATTATCAGGAAATGGAAGTAAGTTAGGGTTCCCATCCTGGGTTGTAACATATTCCTGGGACTCACCACACTAGAGGTGCTTATGGCCACTGCTCTAATCCTGAAAAAACTCTCTATTTTATCCAAACTAAGGTTAAGTCTCGTAATCCAGTCATGACTTCTTTTAAAAAATTGATTGAAACAGCAAATTCCTGCAATATTTAATGTCTCTCTTCCTTTTCTTGGCAGCTCTTCCAAACCATCCAGTGATCTCTTGGATCTTCAGCCAGATTTTGCTGGTACTGGGCAGGCAGCTCCAGCACCTGCTCCTGCGGGTGCTGCTGCTGCTGCTGCTGGAGCCACTTCATGGGGAGGTAGAGGAACCTCACTATCAGCATCTCTTCGTGCAGTCTCTGTCTTCTTGCCTGGCTGAACTGAAATCTGCCTCTTTCTCTGCTAGCACAGGATGTTCCCGACTCACTCCCAGGCTTCGGCTGAGCTGACAGTCAGGCATCCCTTTGCAGCACAAGGCTGCTTCTTCTTTCCAGGGATATGCATAATAGTATAAGCTGCTTATGAGGGCCTGAGTGCAAAGCTGGGGGGAGCCAGGATTATGTGACTAAAAGTGAGCAGGAAGGGGATGGATGAGGTGAGCAGGTAGGATAGATGCTCCAAAACCAAAGAATTGGAATTGCTTATGTGCTTACGGGCGAGGTTGGGGCAGAAACCAGCTCTTCTGTTCATGKAGCAGTGCCCGCAGATCAATAGGAGGGGGAACAAAAATAGCTTTTAAAACAAAAATGYTTGTAAAGCAAATGGTGACAGCTTAGTTCTGCTGCAAGTGTGGATACCTCTGACAAGCCTTAACATATTTTAATAAAGTATCTTCCTTGTTTGCTTAGGATAACAATATGGAAATAGAAGTAGAGGGTTAACTGCTTTAAAGCAGGAATAACTAACTAGCTCTCTGAAATCTGAGCTCTGTGGTCAACTGACCCTGTTGTTCCAGGCAGCACTAGCAGCTGGTGATGTGGAGGACCACAGTAAATGTAGGCAATGTTCACTCCTGTCCTGTTAAAACAAGGAATTAGGCCAGTMAGTGTGATTTAATGGGCACAGTTGTAAACTCTTGATGCTGTAATCTTAAGAGATCCTGTGTTGCAGCTTAATGAGCTCATCAGCCCTCTCCCAGCAGGAATGCAAAACTGAGTCATGCTGACTCTGCTGTCAGTGCTCATACTGGGTACTGGTGCCTTCTGCAGGCTCTGTTTCTGCYCTTAGTTGTACTTCATTAAAGATGWCATTGTGTTTCAGCCACTTCATAATGAGACGATAGCGAGGGCTGTCATGTAGACCGTGTATTGCATATTTCAATTTATTCTGTTGAATTAATTTCTTTTTTTTTTTACTGCAAATGTCAATTTTGTTATCAGAAAAGTAATCTTACCCAGAAAGCAAAACCAAAGAGTCATCTATTCTAGGATTCCTGGGACTAATTATTCTACAGTCTTTTGATTGCGTCCTTTTTGTCTTACTTTGTCACTGCCAAGCACTGAAATACAAGCTTTTGGTATGTTTCAAAGAGTATGGAAGAGCTAACTTTTTTAAATCTGTTGCTGATGCCTACAATAATAGATACATAAATAAATAGCCAGGAATATTGTAAAGTATTGCTTTGCGTAGAAATTAAAAGCTGATATTTTTGGGTTTTGGTTTTTTTTTTTTTCCTTTTCAGACAAAACACCTTTAGTTTGGAACTTAGTTGTTTTTATTGTTCTGAATTACTAGAAACTTTAAAATTGACCAGTAATGCACCTAGTCCTCTTGTTCCATGACAGAAAAGGACAGGTAACTATTTTCCTTTGTCCAGAATTGCTGCTAACTTCATCAAGTATACTTGAGTCTTATCTTTCAGAATAGCGTTTTGGTAACTTAGCAAGGTTCAGCTTTGTCTGGTTTACTGCTGGCAGGAGTCCAGGTATGATGACCTGTTACTGCACTGGAACCTTGCTTGCTTTTTTTTTTMTTTTTCCTTTTTTCTTTTTTTAAACTCTCAGAAAGAATAAAAATATTTCACTCAGAGGGTAGGACAGTACTGAGGCATATCCCTGATGTGTGAACTCTCCATTYCTGGAGATTTTTCAAGACCTGACTAATCAGAGCCGTGACTGACCTGATCTGGTGTTGGGAGCACTGCTGTTCTGAGCAGGAGGCTGCACAAGGTGACCTTCCTTCCACCCAGGGCTTTTGGGAGGATGTGTAACAATGCCACCCTGCTACTTGAGCTGCTTATTCTTCTGGGCTACAGCAAATTAACRTGGGAACTCATGAGAAAATTGTAGTAGAGGGAGGAAGCTGGAAGAAGTGCTGCTGTTCAGAATAGCCAGGAAAATGTGAATATCAAGTATTTTGTGGTGCAGCATTGATACGTGTCAACAATAACAATCCTGCTTTCCTCAGCCTTGCTGGCAGTGTAGATTCTATGCATTTTGACATCTGCTGTATAGTGGATTATATCCAGTATAGTGGMTTATATTTAGGGGTATGTATGGTACCCTGTATTCTTTGTTGTATACCTGCTGTATTTCTGAATACACAATATGTTATCTAGCAAGTGAACTATAACTTGTGAAAATCTACACTTCTGTGCTATCAGGAGACCATCAAGAGAGGGTAATATGCTGCTTGCATCAGGCTGCAAGGTGAATAGATGGGCATTTGGCAGGTGGAGTAGGCTATAGTATTACAAAAAATGCAGGAGGTCAAAGTCTACATCTTGGCGAGGTCTGACCCTTGGATATAAAAGCAAATTGACTTGAATTTCTGCTCTGAACTATCTTACAGTGTGCCTTAGAACATGGATTTGTTTGCAGTATTGCTACTTTAATATTACTATACAAAAACCCATTGGTTTTAATCATTCCCATATTAAGACTAAGTGGAGATTGCTGTGCGGATAATTGTGTGTGGATAATTGTAATTTCACTGTATTGATTTCTATAACATAACCGAATAAGAAAAAGGCATTTAAGAGTAAGCCAGTAGAACTTAAAAGTTTGCCAACAGTTGTTTATATCAAGTGTAGCTGTGAGACATTTACCTGGTGTGCAGTAATGGGATACCAGAGTGCTGCATTTTTAATGTACTGTTCTGCTCTTTCAGAATGGTATTTTGGCTTAGTTCAGCTTGTGCAGTCAGTCTCAAGTACAGCTCACCCAAGGAACCAATTACAAAAATTGTAAAAAACCTAAATGTAGGTTTTTGCTGCTTTTTTTTTTTTTTTTTACTAGTAAAATAAAGACAAATATTTGAAGATAGGGCTGTGCCTGCTCAAATCATTTTGCTTCCATATGCTGACCCCCAGTAAGGCATCAGGACTCTGCTTGCTGTTCAGTGTGGATCAGATGAACCCATGACCCTGTTATGTGTGCAGTGAATCTAGGAGCAACACTGAGCTACTGGTTAGTAAACAGCACTTGCTGAGCTCAGAGTACCCTAACTACAGAATAAAAATTTAATAGGACAAACTCATTCGTTTTCACATGTTTTTTAGATCTCATAGTTGATTTTTATGTCAGAAGAGCTTCTGTGTTTGAGCTCAATCTGACTGATCTCAGAGAACATCAAATTGTAGGAAAGTCTGTCATTAAAGATGCTTCATTGGCTTCCAGAAACAGTTGACTAAGGAACCCAAGTTGGAGCAGAGCCAGTCTGCTTATGCTTATGCTGTCAACATTCTTATTCCTCATAACAAGTGTTAACAGAGTTCATTTTTTCTGCCGAGCATGTTTGCTCTGCCATGAATGCAGAAAAAGCTTTTGAAGAGGAGCTGCTCTATTTATTTATTTATTTATTTATTTATTTATTTTGCACTTAACAGTTGTCCCAAGTCCAAGAACCACCACCTGTTTGTCTCTCAGAATATATTTGGGAGCCAGGGATGCCATGTATTGTATCCTGAAGTAATTTTTTTGCAAGCTGCTCAGTGCTAAAGTACCCTTGCTTTAGTGCCTGTTCTGTGAACTGTTCTAAGGATGTACTGGTTCTGTTTTGAAGAGTTATTAAACAGAATGAGCTTTGTTATGTCAGAATAACTTCATGAATGCTAGAAAAGCAAGCGTAGAAATTATGTTATTAGACATAACCTAGACACGTGATTTAGAATGAACATTTGGCTAATGAACATCTTCAGTCTGGCAGTTCTACTAATTGGTCTGTTTTCTTATTCTGCTGTCATTTTAATGGACAATCAATAGACCTTTTGGGAGGAGAGGGTGAGTAATATTTTTGTTTCCTAAGGCCTCTGTATGTTAAGACTCCTTACTAAAWGCTCCAGCTTTCTGGAGCTGAGTGTTTGTGGTCTCTGCCTTTCCCTTACCTGTCCTGTTTGATCTTCATTRCACGGTTGCCTACAGATAATCTGGCTGCACTTTCCGGTGTCACCTCTGAGCCCCAGATTTCAGATCCATTTGCCCCAGAGCCTACCACAACCACTGCTCCAACTACTGATACTACAACTACTACGGCTGCTGCCGCTACAACCACCACTGTCACTGCTGCCCCTGCTGAAGTGGATCTCTTTGGAGGTTAGTTTGGTTGCTGTAGTGCTCCACACCACTTTGTGATGCAGTCAAAGCAATATTGAGCTCAACTGTTGTATTAAGCCCTCTGATTTAACCAGCTGCACCAGAGGTGCCTGTGTGTTGGATGCTAGATGGAACAGGAATTATAAACTGCCCAACTACCTCTGTTTGCTGTGCTTTTAGCTAATAGACTCCTCTGCATATGTATGAAAAATGGAAAATTGTAAACCTTAYGACTGAGTTACCTTATGATTGAACAGCTAAGAACAGTAGTTCTCGGGTCCACAATGGGGTAAGCAGGAATTGTTYCCACATTATTCAATAACAATGCACTCTACTACAATTTCTGAGAAAAGCAGCTGTGATTTCATAGCTGAAAATGTGGCAGTGTTCTGCCCCTTCGATACTTGTCACGCTTCCTCTGTGTTGTGTTTCTTTTGAATATTTCCTGCAATATAGAATATCGAGCCAGCTGAAATGAGTGTATTTCAGCATTCTTGAAGCTGGGTTTTATTTTGCAAATATTTGCAATAAATTGAGGTTGTGATGAACTTGTACTTAATGCCAGCTATTCAAATAATGTGAAGGAAAGAAAGGAAACATATTCTTAGAGTTTAGTCGTGCTCATCCAGTTTCTAATGTTATCTGCTATCTACTTGAGTAAGAATACATTACCCTCTGTATATTGCCAGTTTTCTTGTTACTCCTGTGGAGCAGGAGGCTTCCCAACAGCATGCCAGAAATCAYATTTCTTTTGAGCATTGTACCAGCCCAATAATGGAGATGTCTTCTTGTTTACATGTTTAAGATCACCTGGCCATTGTGTTTTTCTAGTTTTCTCTCATGCATACTTCCAGCATCACAGGGAATGTCAGGATTAGGTAACAACTTACTTGCTATCAAGACGGAATTCCAGTATCTTCTCTGTGGGGTGTGTTTATCACTTCTACTGAGAGAGGTCTCAAACATAAACAGTTTGACTGTGAGGGTGTTTCCTAAAGACTGAAAGTTCCCAGTTAGAAGGCTTTTGTAGGACTGGCTTCAACAGACAGCACCAAAATATCYCATTAGAATGCTGAAAAGCTGTAAGAAAGGAATACAACTGCTACCTGCTATTTACCCCTCCTTTTACAAAGATTGGTAATAGTCCACAATAGTGCCACATGATCARCCAGTTGAGAGGCAGCTTCAGAATTGTCATGGACAAGGTTCTGGATGCCACTAGGWGCAAGAGAGAGTCTGATATTGGTTGCTCTCATGAGGCAGGGTCTGTGCTCACTAAAAATCCTACAGATGCAGAGAGTGTGAAACTTATGGAATSTAAGCACTGAGGTCGAGCCAGCCTTGGCTACCACACCTTCAAATTGCATTATTAATTTAGTATAGGTATATGGCTTTTTGAGAAATGAAACAACAGTTAAATGGATAGAATTTACTGTAAACTTGAAACAGGATTAGAAAAGCACTTCCTGGTGCTTGTTCTTCCAGTATTACAACAAGATGCAATATTTTTTTCCACTTTTTCCACTACTCTGTGCCTGGAAAAACAGCTACTGCCAAATCACATGCCTCCTTCCAGGCTTGTCAGACAAAGATCTGTGTTTAGTTTCCAGAGATTTAATTGATCATTGGATAGCTTAGTGGCGCAYGTTAAGAAGTGGAGCTTCACCCTCCAATGTGGAAAGGATGACACTTTTGCACTATGCAGATTTCTGTGTCTTAATCTCTTCCTTTAAAGAGAATTTATTTGTTGCTCAAATTCTATAAATCTCCAATGGATTATATGTTAGATTTTTTTTTCCTGTAACACTTCAGAATGAAGAATGGTTCTATTATTTATGAAACCAGAAAACCTCTAGTTCTCAAGAAGAAAAATCTCTAAACACACTCAGCATAGAAATGCTTCTGCAGTGCCTTCAAGACACCCATTGAACAGGCCCCAGAAGTCTATATTGAGCTTCCATCTCTGTTTATRGTCTGGGGTTTTTTGTTTCTGTGTTTTTTTCCTGAAGGCTGTGCTCTAAGTATATTCTAGTATCCTATACTATCATTCCTTGTTACTTTAAGGCYGTACAGTGCAAGGAGAGGCAGTTTTTGGGCAGGAACTGCTGCTCTGTAGCTTTTGTGGTGCTAGATGTGCTAACACTTAATCCTATTAAGTAGGTATTTGACCTTTGTGGTCTGCTGAGATACAGTCTTCAAGGTCACCTTAACTTCTTGCACCCTGCCAGTGCTTTCTTGATTTACACAATTTCTTGTGGTGAAGTATGGTAGGGGAAGGTACAGGAGTAGTGATCTCAGGAGAAAGAATGTTTAGAGTCTTCAGGGAATGTCTGTGCKTGAAAAGAAGCTGAAAGGTGAAGGCAGAAGCAGAAAGGAGGCTTTGGAATTACTGTAGACTGTGCTGTATCACTGGTGCTTCAGCTGATAGGAGCTGCATGCTGCCTGGGGCTGGGCTTTGTCTGTAAGAAACAAGCTCTGCATTATGTGTTCATCACTAAWAGGGCATTGGAGAGCAGATGAGAAATGCAGGATTGATCCAGCATAGCTTTTTTTAAAGTACTCAATCTGATTAATGGGCAAGCTTTCAGTTACCTGGGCCAACCTGAAGAATTCCTTATCGTGTTTCTAAGATAAACAAGAGGAGGCTGTTTCCAAAGTGCAGCTGGAATCATTCCTGAGAGGGAGAAATGTGAAGATAGAAGAAAGGTGAAATACCTTGAAATGCCACTGAGTAGTAGAATTTGGGCACAGTTATTTTTGGACACGTGTAAGGTGCTCTTGAGTTACATTTTGTTGTGGGATTACTCTGTAATCAGTGCAAGTAACAAGTCATGGCAGGCACTGTGCAAATGTCAGGTTTKGGGCATTAAAGTGAATTGTTAGTGRGCAGAACTATGRTTTTCYSYGTAAAGAAACTACAGGCAAAGTGATGAAGACTTTTGGCACTTAAGGGCTAATGAATGTCCCTTACACTGGTACATGCTCGTAAATCAAGCTAGCACTTAGTTAAAAAAAAAAMAAAACAACCAAGCAACAGCGCTTTGCATAATTATTTGCTAACTCTGAGCATAGGGAAATATTTCTTTTTAACTCAGGTCAATTTTTCTATGTCAAAAAGTAATGAAGGGTGACTGAAGAGGAAAAAAAAAAATCTGGAAACAGTTTCTTGTGTACACTTTAGTTCTGTGATCTTTCCTATACTTTTGACTTCCACAAAATGRTTTCACATAATACATTAATGATTATAAGTCATCTATAGCATCTGTGTGGGTAAATTTGTAATGTATTGATGCCATGGCATCAAATAAAGCCTGAATTAGTGAGATGAAAGAGATCACTCTGCAGTAACACTTATTTTGCTGCAGACAAGGTGAATTGAGGCACTACTTCAGCGTTTAACAACTTTGAAAAGCCCTTGTTTGCACATTTTTTCAGTAAGAACTGTATTTATGAATTCAAGTATAAAGCAGTACATAATACATACCTGTCACTCCTAGTGGATGTTCCATGCAGCATGAACTTGCAAAGGTTTCATCAACATCTCTGTAAGTTTTCAGGATGTCAAGAAATTCAAATGAGAACCATATGTTACTTGATTCTAGAAGTCAAAAGCTAAATTCACTTTTGTAACAGGAGATGCAGAAATGTAAAGAATATTGTAACTGCTYTAAAGGGAGCAAATCTCTTACACTGCTGAATGTGCAAATGTAGGGTTACTACACCAATATGGAGGAAAAAAGGAAAATAAGATGTCCCTTTTTTTAATACTAAATTATGCAGATTTAATTGTGCCCATTTTTGCATGCTATGCTAGATTTTAGCAGAGGGCAACTGTTCRGGAGCAGAGCCTTTTGAAAAGAACTTAATAAGCATTAATTTAAGAAAAACCCAATGGCAAACCCTTGGTTTAAAATGCGAGTTGTAGGGTCACCTGTTAAGGTTGGTTTGTCTCTATGTTCTTACAAGTTTCTTGAACTTCTCAGATTAATTAATATTAGGAGTTCTTACTATGACATTTTTCATTTAGATTTCATTTAGATTTTCATTTAGATTAGTATGAACTTAGGTATTTATCCCACCCAAGTCTGATGCTAAAAAAAATTACAATGCTTGGCAAGAACCTCACTCAGAAGTGTCAGTAAATAATAGAGCTGATGCCAAACTGTTTCCTTGTGTGGGCTGGGAGGAACTTCTGCCCACCTGAATATCTATGATTGTTGCACGTGGAACTTCAGTAGCCTACATCTGGACAGGAATAGGTGTCACCCTGAGGCTGAAGTGATCCCAGCAGAGAACYAGTGAATTCTGCATTCTGAATTCCTGCTTTAGATGTCATCTGGAGTCTATCCTTTCATTCTGGGAAATAATTACAAGTAGGGTTGACCAATGTCTGTGCTGTCGGCTCTACAAGCTCATGTGGGCACAAATGTTCTCATGAAAGAGCYCAGGGTGCCCCTTCATGTGAAAGCTGGCCCTGTGGAGCAAAACTGAGCACACAAACCCTTACACAAAACATCTTCTCAAGCAGGACATTGCAGAACTCTCYAGTTTGGTTCTGTGCTGAATTCCTTCCACGCGGTGCACACCGGTGTCTGGTACACAATACTGGGATGTTTGACTCACTCTGATGTTTTTACTTGGACAACTGCCATCCAGTTTTGTCGTTGAACAACCCTGTTACTTGAAAAATAGAATTATATTTGAAATGGCTTATTAGCAGGCCTTTTTGTGCTACTAACTCATTTTAATTCTATTGTACAAGACTAATGGGCTTTCTTCCCTTCTGTTGAAGTTTTGGTGCATGTTTTTTTCAGCTTTTTAGATTACCTGGCACGAATTTGTTTTTTAAATGGTTGTTTTCATTTTAAAATTGACATTCAAGTTAAAGCATGTTAAGCTTTTTCCTGTGTTAATTTGACAGTGCAATTGCAGTATTCCCTAATAGTTGTTTTTTTTTAACTTGCTAACTTTTGTAGCAGTAGAAAAATGTCCTTTACAAGCATCTTGAAGTATTTAATCCTCATTGTGCAGTCTTTTTTTTTGTGAAGAAAATGCTTGGCTATGAGGATAGTCCCAATGGCATTGTCCATTAGGACTACTTCATAGAATTAAGAGCTACAAATTGTGGTTTAAGCCTAGAAATAATGCTGTTCACAGCTTGAAATTTAAGCATGCCACTTAGGAACTGGCAAGCAGAAAGAAAAAAACAGTCAAAGAACAAGTGGCAAACAAAAAAAAAAATTAAAACATCTCATGAGCAAGTCATTCCAAAACCCCAACCTGTTGGGGTTCCCTTAACTCGAGTGGTTGGTCTAGAAGTGATCCTAAAAGGACAGACCGGTTGTGGCTGGCCCACCATCAGTTAAGATGAACAGTGTTGATCTGTTTGAAGCAAGCTGAATAAATATAACCTATGCATCAGGTTATGGCTTCAGAAAGACCCAGTTGGAATACTGTTAAGAAACAAGTAAGTTCAATTTTTCAGATGTTGCATGGCTGACTTGGCTCAAAGACTAGAAATGGTAGATGCTGATGTCTACCAGAGTAATTGGATTGTTATTCATAACAGTGCAAAGCACTATGCAAGTAAACTCACAGTTGCAGATTAATCACATGTAWTTCAGGCTTTGAGCATGCAAGTTGTTAATATCTGCTCTTAAGTTAATTTTGTTAATTAGTTAATTTTGGGTAGTACATGAGCATGCAGCTCTGAACCCTTATACAATGAGAATAATGCCTTCTTTTRCACTCACTGTGCTTATTGTGGGCAACCCAAGAAGCTCCATCTGCAAACCCTGTCTAGAACCTGCTCATGTGGGGTTGGGGGAGAGACAAAGCGTTTTGCGCTGCATGACTTGTCTCGCTGTTGGAGTAATTACATTCATGTTGTATAAGGGGATCTACCTGTGCAATTTAACTTGGTTCTTTTACTATAATTTGTCTTCTCTTTATTCTTTTTTTTTTTTTCTTTTAATTTCTGTTCTTAAACTGCACCCAAGATGCCTTTGCAGCTTCTCCTGGGGAAGCCCCTGCAGCAGCTGATGGGGCAGCAGCACCAGCTACCCCAACCCCTGTAGCAGCAGCTCTTGATGCATGTTCAGGAAATGGTGGGTTTTATGTCATTAGATAGTCTCTTGTTTTGCTGGTTTTATTTTTGTTTAAACTACATGGCAGTGTGTTTTTCTGAAAATTTCATAGTRTTTGCAATTGGTAAAAACAAACCTTAGACTGAAGAGCATGCCTAACAAAACTGCCCGTTTCCGAATCCCAGTAACTTTGTTTTGGTATTTGGTAGTGCTAATGAACATTTCTGTCAGTGCTGAGTTGTAAGCAGTAGCCTGGATAATCTTTTCTCATATTTGTTTGTTTGGCCTCGCCAAACAGCTTTTGAAAGTTCTCCCCTCTAGTAAGTAGAMCTGCTCAGCCTTTCAGACAGTCTTTATTTTAGAAAAACTCGAGTAACATGTGTGGATAAGTAAGCTAGAGGTCAGAGCGACCTCCTGGGCGCGTGTGCGTGTATTTGCAGAATGTGCATTGCCTGTAGTTGCTTTGTTCTTGAATTCCTCCCTCACTGATCCTAAGTATGCATACACATATATTTCCCCTCTCCTTTTTACAAGACCCCTTTGCCCCATCCGAAGGTAGTGCAGAGGCTGCTCCTGAGCTGGACCTCTTTGCTATGAAGCCAACAGAGACTGCTGTTCCTGTAGTTACCCCTACAACTAGTGCAGCCACTCCAGTTCCTGCAACAACTCCTTCTCCAGCTGCTGCTGTTGCTGCTGCTGCTACTGCTACTACAGCTACTGCCACTACCACTACTGCCACCACTTCTGCTACCGCCACCACCTCCGCTCCTCCTGCTCTAGATATATTTGGTGGTAATTTTGTTTTTAACTCTTTGATTCTGGTGCATTGATCTGTCAGGAGTACCAAATGAACAATTCGTTGTTGCATGCGTGTTGTGTGCTAGGCTTTCAAACCAGAGAGCCTGTTAAGTTTCAAATATGATGTGCAAAATTGGAAACTTCTGTTTTCAGTCCTGCCTTTCAAAAATGAGTTAAAGATGTKTTGTGTTCTTGGCCTTAGATTTATTTGAGTCTGCTCCTGATGCACCTGCAGCACCTAAACCAGATGCTACTCCTAGCATAGATCTCTTTGGTACAGGTAAAGAGAGAATTCTTCCAATACTCTGCTGCTTTGAGGCTGTGCAATGGTGTAAACTGATTCAAGTAATACTTACTTCTTGTTTTCTTCTTTCCTTTCTGGAAGATACATTTTCATCTCCACAACCTGCAGCTTCTCCTGTACCTGAGAGTTCTGTCACTGGTGATCTCTTATCTGGTGAGTGCTTGTTTTCACAGGCCGATCTACAGACCTCCTTGGTTTGGAATTCTTTCCAAAAGTWAAAAAAAAWAAAAAATMARCKTACTGCCAATTTACATCTTTAAATGAAAATACTAAGAAATATTAAGTTTTGGGTTTGCTGCTTTGGTCACAAGATGTGCACTTGCTGAAGATGCAAATCATGAAGTGGCTGACACTGAAGTTCAGTAAGTAAGTGATGTGGTTGTTGAGAGAGGAAATCCTCCTCTAAGCGTAAGAAAACGCTTAACAAGCGATGTTTTCTTTAAATTAYTGTGGTTTTCAGTTTTCTTTAAATTACTGTGGTTTTCAGTTGCTGTGTGAGAAATGTAACACTTTCTGTTTGCAGTTCTGGAGACTGTTACCCGAATTTACCAAACCTGTGGTTCTAACTGTTGGAGCCCATGTGGCTTTGAAATATTTAGCTATCATTGTCGCCTTGCTGATACTAAATATTATTTATCCTATGCTTACTGCAGTGGATGCATTTGCAGCCCCCTCTCCTCTACCCACTGCCTCTCCAGCAAAGGTGGATTCTTCAGGTGTGATTGACCTATTTGGTGGTGGGTATTTTTTTTTCCTCACCACTTCAGAGTTGAATCACTTCATTTCAATGACCTTTGCGCTTTGCTAAAGCTGCGGGTTTCCCCTTCTCACAACTTTTCCGTGTGGCCTTAGGGCTGAGTCTGGCATGTCCCGTTCTTTATATTGCACCTAATGAACTGCAAATAAGCTGTCCTGTGGGTTCTTTGTCATGACACTTGCCATTCTGTCCTCAGTCAGTGCATGTGTGGCTCTTCCTCAGGTGTCCAGTGAAAGTCTGCTCTGTCCTTTTCCTTCTTTGCTAATCTCCATGGTCATGCTGTTTCCTCTCTGTTCCGTTTCTCAAAGCAGCTGAAGTTTTGAGGGTGACCTGTTTCAAACTTGGTATATCTGAATCACAGGATCTTTGCTGGATTTGACAAGGTGGAAATTAGGATGGGCACAACCAACTCTAGGCATGTGGAAGGACGGAAATGGTGCTTAGAAGCAGTGAATTTTAATTATTAGTGGGATATTCCTCTGAAAAGATTTCACCAGAGCTATTGGCTTCTGGCTGGAATTACCCCAAACTTTCAACCAATGCATTCATCTCCAAAAGTCTAAACCTTGTTGTCTTGAATGCTGTGATTTCTATCTGAGAAGAGGCCCAAATGGAAGAGATTCCTTTYAAGTGCTGCTCTGTTGTACATCCTTTTTTCCACCTGAACTTTGCATCCATGATACTGCTCTGCAATAAGGATGGCCAAGCMGTTTCGTTTTCTTCTTCTGATGTATGAAGTGGTTATTCTCTTGTCACCTTTTGTTTACAATATGTAATGGATTGATGTATTTAACATTGAACTCTTCACTTTTTCCTGATGCTTTCTGGAATTCCCTTTAGATGCTTTTGGAAGTAGTGCTCCTGARCCCCAGCCCACAACCCAGGCTGCTTCTAGTTCCTCAGCTTCTGCAGACCTACTTGCTGGTAATAAAGAACTTCTAAAAACTTATTACTTTAAGGACATACTAAGAAATGGTGTTTGAAACCTTTTATGTTCCTTGGGTGTAGATAGTGGAATAAAATACTTGTTCTCAAGATTTCATAGTACTTTAGATGTTTTATTTAAAACTAGAGTGATTTATAATGGAGACAATATACTGAAGCACAAGCTAACCTCCTAGATTATCTTCTTTCCATTTCTTTGTTTTCCTGCCTCCCACACAAGCCTTATTTTTCTGTGCTGCTCACTGAGTCTGAATGTCTGCATAAAGTTTCTTTGACTGTCTGCAGCAGTACTAAAGTTAAGCAATATTTCAGACTATGGGTTTTTTTTTTTCCTTACTGCTAATTAAACTTAGAGTTCATTCAATTTGGTCGCTTTGATTGAGGCAGGTTGAACACTTAAATGTTAGTAGCTTGAATGAGTGACTTGTTAGCATTCTTGGATTTAGCCAAGGAGAGTGGGATGATGAGAGGATCCTTTTCTGAACACAAGGGCAGAGAAGTGATAGAGATTCTCTCCTTGTGCTGGGTGAGATGAGGTCTCTGCTAGTGCTGAATGTGGCATCACTGTCACACCCTATATCAAAGATTGGATAACTGTATTATTTTAGTTTGCATCCTACAGAAAAGCAGCTCCAGCTGAATTCTGTGTGTACTGTTCTCCAAAATTTGTGCTATACCATCTATTGTAGTGTTTAGCACAGTGATTGTTAAACAGCTGTCACTCCTCCCCATCCCAGTTTGAATTTTGTAGAGAACAAGATCCCAACATGTGCCCTTCTGGTTTGTAGAAGACTTGTCTTAAATTCTCCCGTGTTTCTGAAAGGTGAATTTGTGTCATKATTTAAATTAACACTACCCCACCAAAACCAGCACAATTTGTAKAATTGGTAGGTAGGTTATCACTACATTTTCAAGTGGACATTGAAGTGTGGTCATTGTCCAGTTATGCCATAGGAAGTTGGAAGTTGTCTGGATAATAATAAGGCATCCATCCATTCTCAGTCAGCAAACCAGATTCTTAAACTGGGACATAATGTGTAAGTGCATGCTGAAGCTTTAGGGCAGACTGCTTCAGATTTTAAGGTAGAAGACTAATTTTTTTTTYCAATAGATCTTTGTATTAGTTTGTGGATGGCTTAAGGCCACAGATCAGGTTTTAACGAATAGCTTCTGAAACAGGACAGTCTTTTGCAGTTACACGTGTTATCAGGAGACTGAGTGCAAAGAGCTGGTTGGACAGAAGCTAATTCTGCTTATGCAAACATTACAATACAAAATATTTTATGTCATTCTGTAACTAAGCTTAAATGCAAGTAGAAATTGTGCTCCAGATGGCTTAAACTTCATCAATGTTCTCTCTGCAACTGATGAGTTGCATTAAATCAAAACCTAAATTGTAAAAGGGCTGTTCTAAGTCTAAATACTCAAGCAGACCTGAAGCAGTTGGGGTGAATAGATGATTTTTTAAAATATATTTTATTTATGCTTTGAATATACATTCCAAAGGGCTCTAAGTAGATCTGATTTGAGTTTTTTTGGCAGACAGAGGGAGTCTATAAACATTGCAGCATATTGCTAAGCATTTGCTCACGCTAGATAATGGCAGATGTATAGCCTGCAGTGTAATCCAGTTTTAAATTCAAGAGTGTCTGGAGTTCATATGGTGGCTGAAGGCTTGTCCTTCATGGTTTATGAGTGTTTGGTTGTACTAAGTGTTTATATGCATAATGTTATGAGTATACTTACTATTCATAATTGTCTTAAGTGTTCTGCTGTCAAATAAGTTCCTGCTTTTTCTTGGCTTGCTTAGGAAATTTGGAAGAAATGTTTTCTTACACTAAGCCTTTCAGCAGACAAAACTAGAGCTATGCTGATAAACACAGCAGTCAATTTTCCCTTCTAGAACTTTCTATCCAATGAAACTAAATGTGTGTCCCAGTATGTACTTTATTAACATGGTTTTATATGAAATGTTACTTGGCTGTGCAAAAGCAATGTCAAAACCAGGCACTTGGGGATGTCCAGACAGCACAACTGACTCAGTTGCTGCTGTTTCTGCAGACTTCCCTGGGGTCTTGTGCAGTCTCTAGACAATTAGGAACTTGGTTTGTTAAAGAATTTTTATGTCTTCTGTGCCTGGTATTCCTCTTAAATTGTGCAAGGCTAAAAGCATGCAATTAAGACYAGTTATCATACAAATTTTCACCAGAAACTGTGGAGTCCTCTCTTCTGTAGCTGGAAAAACAGACACTTTATGGGGTTTAGCAAAAGCTTACATAACTTTCTAAACAGAATTTTAGTAATGGATATTGGATCATACCCTTCTGCCAGGCTCCTTGCTCTCACTCAGGAATGGAAACACAGGCTCTTTAGATGGCTCCTGTGCTTTAGGGATTGCTGCAGTCAACTGCCTTTGTCATCCCTGGATCTGGCCAACCTGCTCCTGGTCTGATTCTTTTCAGATTAGTACTTTTTTTGCAGATAGTTGCATGCATGGAGCTTTGCCTTGGGGCAGGTGATGATGTAGGACAGTGAAGGATCAGAGGACAGCCCAGCATCAGTCATGTTTTAGCTGGTATCTGTTAAATACTGTGATGGTCTGCTATGACAACAGGCCACCCCGAGAGGCAGTAAGATCTCCTCTTGGAGGTACCAAGACAAATCTGTGGGCAGCATGATTTGATTAGACTGACTTTAAATAGGGTRTGTGGCTGGCTGACCTCCACAGATCCCTTCCAACCTTCATTATTCCACAACAAACTCATGTCAAGAACAGATGGGAGAGAGATGAGGGCAGATCTCTGATCCCAATATGTTTTTCCATATTCAGYGTTAGCAACTGTGAGCATGAGACTTACTGTGGGCTAGGATTTGGGTTATAAGGGCTTCTTGATTYCTTTATACTGCAGTAAGCCTAAAAAACACAGGGAAGCTCACACAGGCTGCKGAAATGTTCTTTATTTCAGACTTCAGAAAACAGGCTGCTCTGCTTTTCCTRCTCCTGCTTCCCTGGCTCCAGCCAGTGCCATTGGTTGGTGGCATCTGAAGGGACCAGTTTAGGTTATGATCRGAGTGGTTTTGGTCATTAGCTGCAATCTGGAAAGCTCCAGCTGAGGGTTTTAATTTGTGAGGRGTTTCTAATCAGGTTTCACTCTCCTGGAGCTGTGGTGCAGTCAGGTTTGCAGTCCCTCTGCTGGCTGTGTCTGGAGCCAGTGGGTTTGTTGGTACAGCCCAGGTGTTCCACACCCAAAATCTGTTCTTGGTGGTACAGCAAGCTGCTGGGCTGCTGCCCAGGACCCAGGGAAGGCACACCACTCTCATTTCTCCAGGAAGGGTTTTGGTTTGAGTACCATTGATCCTGCTTTGGCATGGGGGCARAGGGACAGCTTGAAGACATCTTGACCAGGAAAACCAGGATATTTTAAGATGGTGAGAAAAGCTAAACTGGATTAGTAAAACATTGCCTTATGAATTGAGATTCCAGAGTAGTTGATGGGCAATCATATACATTTCTCATGTTAGTCTTCTGTTTATTTTTTTTCTGAACTAATAGTTCGTTGCATTCTGTCGGTGCTATTACTTCCCTAGAGCAACAGCACGTAGAGCTGGAAGAATTCTCACTCTGTTATCCTGTTTCTGCAAAAATCTAAATTAAAATTTTTATTGATGGYTCTCTGAAAATCTTTAAATTCCCACAGTCATACCAGGGACGCTTGYGTAGTACTGAGTTATTATTACCATGGTTTAGTAAAAATTGTCTTTATCATTCTGCCCTCTGTAGATGAGCTTTTGGTAAACACAGTCTAACAAGACTGACTCTAATGTCTCCACCTCTCTTCTGTGTTTTTGAAGGCTTTGGAGGTTCTTTTATTTCTCCCTCTCCATCACCATCCCCAGTCACTCCAGCTCAAACTGGATTACTACAGCCTAACTTTGATGCAGCTTTTGGGACCACAGCTCCAGCAACTGGCGGTTCRTTTGATGCATCAGGTGAGCCACAGGGTTTCTTCCTGTGAATTTTCTAATGTGCTTTATAAGGTAGATGAGTTTAATGACACCATATTTAGGCTTTGAATACAAGCAATATCAGTGACCTCCTTTTTCTTTCTCTACTGGAAKAACCTCAGGGTGGTGATAAGGCTGGTGTGTGCCCAAGAGCTCTCTGTACCCATTTTTTATTCTACCATGTCAATGAAAAACAAGCTAGTGTGTGCATCATCCTTGCATGTGCTTGACAGCATGAATCAGGAATTACACAAGGAAAACACTGTTCTATAAATGGAGTTTACAGGCAAGTCACCTTGCCACTGCTGCTGCAGGTGCTCTGGAGCTCGCATGGCACCCGAGGGTGCACACCACAGAAACTGAACAGAGAGTTCTTTGCCTGACTATAAGCTTAAACTTTTATCACTGCTATCATTTTGTTTGCATCTCTTCCATTCTATATTTTTCATGCTGGGTCCTTGCTACAAACTTAAAATTGGTGAGTTCTACAACTGTACAAGGAAAAAAGGTGGAAATAGTACTGCTGCTTGGTTATTTGGTTGCTTGCYGGTGCACATGCTACCCCTTCCTGTTGACTTAACGTTAGCATGTACCTCAAATACAGATCAGAAGATAGAACTCAGGCATGAGATGTACCAAGCAGTTTTGACTTCAAGGGAATCTAAAAAATGAACTTCTGAGTTAGATGACTGGACTGAGGAGAATAGCACTGTCCGTGTGGATGGTTCTGGTTCCTTCTGATCTCATAAGATGTTAGTAGGCGYTCCCAATTCCCTTCTGCTTGCAAGTGAATAGTAACATCTTGAGACTGCCAATCCTGTCGCTGTGAGATGTCAAGGTATAAGACTGCCTTTGCCACAGTAATTCTGACTGGTGTTTGCAGCAAGATGTTCATTTTAAAAACCTTTAAATGAATATCTCCTGACAAATGTGTGTGTCTCTGACATCTCTGTAAGGATGGTTGTAAGAAAAATAGTGTCATGTGGAAGTGGTGCTGTATCTATGTAGATTCAATGCTCCAATTCAATTCCTTTTAGGCATGTCTTCTCATACTAGTTCTCATTGGTATAGCTTTTCCAAAACTACTGTTCATTCAGTGTCTAGTAAAATGACGTGCATGCCCTTGTTGGCATTACTTTTAATGTCAAATGGTGTTTTAGTAAGACTTGTGATGTGGTTGTCTGTGCTGTATTCGYTAAGCAGAGTAGCAGGCAGTGCTTTTTTTGGATCACAACTGCTCTTCTAACCCTCTTTCCTTTCACTTCCAGTGTTTGATGGCTTAGGTGATCTTCTTATGCCAACCATGGCTCCTTCTGGTCAACCTGCAACACCTACAGCCACAGCAACAGTCCCTGCTGCAGCAGCAAGCAAAGGCCTCGGAAGCGATCTTGATTCGTCTCTGGCAAACTTAGTAGGCAGTAAGTGACAGATTTTGGTTTTAAGTGGTGTGGCATGCAGCTATGTTGCTTTTTCATGGAGCCAAATACCTGTTTTAGCTTGCTTCAGGATCCTGCTGTTCCCCTGGGGAGACTGGGGAAGCTATCAGCAGGAATAAGGCCTGATTCAGATAGTCTGGGTTTGTCCTTTTTTGAGCCCAGGATTTGAGTCAAATAATGGCCTCTGTCTGGTAGGTGTGATTTTTAATGTGTGACTGTCCCAGGTACGTTCCAGAGGCACATCAGACTCTTCATGGATGTGCCCCTCTGTAATAGATGGAAAGGTGAAAATTGTCCAGAGTGTCTGAGGGCATTCTGGAATTCAAGCAGYSAAGCTGGTGGACACAGACAGCTGAMTTYATGTTTAGTGAGAGAAAGAGTATCAGTGGGGTGATGAGTGCACTCAAGAGCAGACCTTCTCTCAGGCAGAGAACCTACCAAACATATTCTTGAAATGCTAAACTAAAATATGTTCTCTCCTGTAGTRGGAAAAGGGCTGGAGACTTTGTAATTAGAAAGTAGCAGCTGCAACCCCCCCAAAACCTCAAAGAGGCCCACCCAGGCTAAGGTGTAATCCCACTGAAGCTGTATTTTGGAGGGCTACGTAAGTGGAACACTCTCCTAGTRCATGTAAACACACCACAGCAAAGATATAACTGATCTTATGATGAAGACACGGCTTTTAGGTATGGGGGAAAATACTGAGCTTAGAAGTCAGCAAGACCCTTAATCCCTTGAAACATTTTCTGCAAGTCATTTAGTATATCCAGGTTTGGAGGAGGAAATCAAACTGAGCAATTTGCAACTTATAGGACTCATTCTGCTCCTCACACCTGTGAGAAAAGTACTCTTTAAAATTTACTTTAAGACTTCTTCCAAAGGGTGATTAAGGAAACTATTTGGAGTTTCCATGTAWAACAAAGCAGATAAAACAGTGCACAACTTATAGGTAATGTTCAGATTTATGTATATGTGGATTACAAGTTTTTATTTCCCTATGTGTAATGAAGAACAGAAACTAGTGYTGTCATTCATGGTAAATAGTGCAGTATTCTTAAACAACTTAGCTTCTTGTAGAACTAAATATAGTTACTTTTGTTTGCTTATGAAGCAAAAATGGCTTTCTCAGGTGCAAGACATCTGTGGGTTTCTCAAACATTTGTCCTGAAGAGTGCGTAAATGTGGCCAGTCCTCTGATGCTGTCTAGATGAAGACAGCCTAAACTTTTTCTCTTTTTTTAAGTCCAGGTACAGTGAAATGTAGGCTGTTACTTTGATGTGCTTCAATTTTCTAAATATGTGGCTTCTTTTTTATTTCCTTCTTTTTTTACAATTTTCAGATCTTGGAATTTCTGGTACTACTTCTAAAAAGTAAGTTCAACTTTGCTTAAAAATAAAGGAAGTTTCCAACTCTGCTGCATAGCCCTACATCTATTTTGGTGTTTATTAAGAAACAAAGAACTRGTTCTGTGCCCCAACCTCCAAATCCAGAAATTTCTGGAGAAAATATTCTATTCTAGGCAGGTGCATTGAATAATTAAGGTTCAATATTCTTGATAAAGCTTATAAACCTGCTGTCTTTAATTTGAGCCTTAGAAATATTTTAGATAGCTGATTTCCAAACAGCTTATAATGTACAAATAGTCCAGATAATTAATTGTGTAGCTCCCCTCAGTAATCTATGCTAATATGTAAATAGATTTGTTATWTTTTTACAGATGCTGGATGTACTTACTGTGTAGGCATTGAAACACTTACAAAATAGAAAARAGGTTCACTCCATGCAGTGACAAGCTTCTTTTTGCAAAAGGAAATATTTACAATATTGCATTTGCTTTTTTATCTTAATCTAACTGCTTGCTTCTGCCCTGAGTGTCCCTCTRTTCAAGACCTCAAAATGTTTTGTGYCTCTATGGAGATGATWGGAGGGATATGTRCAAACACARCATGAGGYTTAGCCCCAAAATGTGGCTTCATTCAATCTACTTTGTTCAAATGGTGTRTTTTATTCTGGTTAGAGCAGCCTCTAACAAAAACTGGTTTTGCGACAGCCCTTTTATTCTATGAATGATTTGTTTCTCTTGTATCTATCAACTTTTTGCAGAACTGACTGCTTTCCTCCTTCAGCTGTCTGAGCAAGATTTCCAGCACTGAAATGGCCTTTCAAAGACATCTAGCAGGCAGCTCTCCTGCCTGGCCCCAGTAGAATAGGCAGTAGCAGTCCCTCTTCCTACTTTGCAAGGGTACATGCGATATGTTACCTTCAGTCAATACTAAGTAAAACTTCTCTTTAATTCTCACCACAAAGGCCATAACCATGTAACTGACTTCAGCATAGAGTGTTTTGGTGTCTGCTGCTAACAAGCCTTGAAACTGAGTGTCACTAAAAGTATATCTTTCTGTTAATAACTGCATACACCATAAGCTAATGTAGCTGCACGTCTAATGCTAATGTACGCTGCAACCGGTTTTAAGTTTCACTGTGGTTGTTTCCAAATAATAGCCTGCCTCTTTCTCTCTGTTAGGGGAGACCTTCAGTGGAATGCTGGAGAGAAAAAGTTAACAGGAGGAGCCAACTGGCAGCCAAAAGTAGCACCTGCAACATGGTCAACTGGTGGAGTCCCAGGTGGTCCAATGGTAGGTGGTTAATCCATCGATAACACTGGTATTGGACTATCAGTATTTGATGAGACTGGGCAAGCACACATGCAGGCACTGCTGAGGCTGAAGAGTTTGCTTCTGTGTCAATTATATGTGTTTCATGTCACATTTTTTAAGAACAGATTTACGGCTGGCATAAATAAACCACTGAGGAGTAAATGAAAGACACGCCAGCATACATATCAAGATGTTGCTCTACATGTACATTTAATAACTCTGGACTTTCCCAAGTGTGTGATTAGCCATATAGGTCTTGCCAGGATCAGGCCCAGAACAGCTGACCAAAATAAAATGCTATTGTTCCAAAGCTAATGTACCTTAAGGAGACAAAACAGTTTTACTGACTAAAGTAGATCAAAAAACTACACACTATTCACACTTATCAGGTAACTGATGTTAGATCAGGAGTTGGTAGCTTATTGAACCAGGTAAAGCGCATGGAAAAGGTAAGATTACCCTGTAAAAGGTAAAATCAGAAGGTGCTGATTTTAAAAGAAGAGGGTCAAATTGAGCTAAAAATCTAAACTTGTCACAAGAGCAACTTGATCATGAATAAGCTACAAAAGTAATCTCATGAGGGGTCATATCTCATAAAATGTCTCGTAAGGCTTAAAACAGCCCCCATTTGAACAGGGTTGGGTTGGGAAAGGAAAGAAAGATCTCTGAAGTGGGACCATGAGCAGTTCAGTTCCTTGCTGCCACAGCCAGGTGTTAACATGACTCTGAGCGTGTCCCACAACCTTATGGAAGATACAAGAACTCCCTGTACTTCACTTAATGCGTTAGTGGTAACATCAACTTTTTTTCTTAATAGAAAGGCTGGGCAATTCTGTACAGTGTAAGTGAATTTTTTGGTTTTTTTATCTCTTACTCTACTTACTAAACATGAAGATACTAACAGCACCTCACCTGCACTACAGTTAYTACTGCTGGCTTAAAACTAGCTGGAAGCTTCTAACATGGCTCCTCTTGGACTGTTTCTCCAACAATCAATGCTCAGGCAATGGATTGAATATGGCAGTACTGATTAACCATTTCTGTGCTGTAAGCTTGAAAATAATGTCTTCAAACTGTGCTTGCTTTACTTGGATGTGAACTACCTGATGACTTGTACTGCCTGAAATTTTGAGCTTCTGTAGCATCAGCCTGGTCTTGTAGTGATTTTACCATCTGATAAGTAAGTAGTCTTTCTGGGAAGCTGGGTAGCTTTGATAGCATTTCATGAAACGTATGTGTGGTATATATTTCTTCAAAATCATGCACTTAGGGACTTTTTGAAACAAAGAAAACCATATCTGCAGGCAAAATAAATGTGAAGACAAAAAATGAAACTTTTATTCATGTCACTATTGAACCACTTAAGTTTTGATCRCTTCTTCCCTTCCTTGTGACCTTTCAATTCCAGGATTAAAATCAGCAGAATTGCATCAAAGCCCATTCCCTCCAGTGTTTTGAGGCAAAAGCAGATTCAGTTTGTGTGGCCATTTTCTTGGCAGCTGCCTAACTGGATGTTGAGCTACAATGTGTTCCTGTGAATGCATCTGATGTCATTAACCTGTGTGGTTTAATTTCTTGCTTTTCATATCTGAGTGTCCAGATCTCGTTTTTTTTTTTTAGTTTGGGGACTCTGCTGGAACAGTAAAGTTTTTAACTGAAATGCTCCCCAGAAAACTTTCAGACTAGAATAGAGTTCATAAATTCTCAGAAAATGTAGAGTGTTTGATTAATGAATCTGGGACAGGTTATCTTGACTTGTCTTCAGCTTCCTAAGAAACTGGCATRTTTTAGTCTGGAAGCAAGGATCATCCAATGGCACTAAAATGCAGCATTCCCAGAAATGGACTGTGCAGTGAGTTGTTCCAGCATATCTCCAGAGACTCTCCTTTGAACTGTGAGTGTGCTAGCTGCTCTCCAAGTGTGGTGGGATGTTATTGACTCAAGGTAGGTGGTGAGGATGTGGAGGCACAGGCACGACCATAAAGCTCCTGTAATAGCTTGAGAAATTGTGCCAATATGCTTAGGCCATATAAGAGCAATAATGAAATCCTGCTGCCTTTTTACATCCATTCCAATTTTTACATCCCTTCCTTGAGGGCTTTCTGCCTCTCTTCAGAGCTGTTAACAATTTGGATTGTATATATATCTGTGAAAATGAAAGATTTAGATCTTTCAAGGCTATAAGGAACTGTGCATGGGAATTTACAGAGAAGGGAGCCAAAATGGGTGATGTGTAGACTTTATTAGATAAGTGAGGTGGGGTGGACTTGTTCAAAGATGCTCTTGTGCTGTGTATCCAGTCAGACTATGCAAGTAACAGTTCTCTCTTCCTGAATTCGACTGGAAGATGACCTTTTTTATTCCCCTTGTATTATTTGAATGAAAATTGTAACAACTCCAGCACATGAATGAAAAGCAWAGCAAGATAAACTAAGCTGTCCTTAGTAAAGTATGTAATGGTTCTGATTGTGGTTTAAGTCTGTGAATTTATTCTTTAACTTCAATGAATCTTGGTGCATAATTTTTTCTTTCACTGGTGACTGATTATAGCAGCTATTTCTCTTAGCTTTACAATCTGCTCAAGCCCCTACTAAAATACAGGGCTACAGTAAGTGCCATAGTGTGTTAATTGTTATGAAATTGGGATGCTTTCTTACACTAAGTAGAAGGAAGACTAAAGTGTGTATTGTCTCGGGCCTGTTTTGAGTTGCAGTCAGCAAATGGACTCTGTTCATGAAGAGAAKGGAGTCTGTCACCATTGCTTCCTTATGAAGGAACAAGCTGAGCAGAAGGACTCATTCAGCTCCCTCATTCTTTGAAGCATTGTGGTTTTGAGGCTGCATATGTGCTGCATAACAGTCCTACTTTCCAGAACAGCTTTGAGAATGCTGGAGACTCCGTGTGGTTTCCAGATTGTCTGTGTTAGATTTTTGCTTTTTTTCTTTTCCTTTTTTCTTTTTTTTTTTAATATTTTTTAGGCGGGAGCTGTGCCTCCAGCAAGTGCTGTTCCTGCCGCGGGAGGTACTCCACCTGTCCCCCAGCCAGGAGCAGCATTTGGGATGGTGAGTGTCTTTAGCTACCCTGCTCTCCTGGCCTCCCCCAGCCCCTGCTGACCCCGTGTTTGGTTTCCAGCCCCCAGCAGGTGCCGGGGTGCCCATGATGCCCCAGCAGCCGGTCATGTACGGGCAGCCGATGATGAGGCCCCCGTTCGGAGCCGCCACTGGCCCTGGTGTACAGGTGAGCATCACTGCTACACCAATGTTTCATTGCTCTCTGTGTCTCTAGAAAGTTGCTTGTGTGTGTGCATTATTTCAGCTCAGCTCTAGCTCCAGGTCTGTAAATGACAAGGTCTTGCAGCAGATCATGTGAACCACCATGATTTTTTTTTTTCAGCTGCCTTGTATGAGACCAATGGAGCAGGTTTGAAAAGTCTCCTACAGCTAACTACATCCMAGATCTGGTTTGGGGGGGATATTTGTGTGGAGCTCAAGATGGAGCTCATGGGCATTGCTATTCTGTTCCCAGCCTACCAAAATTTATCATAACTACATTCAGCAGGTGATGCAGCGTGAGCTATAATACCTGTTCCAGGCTGTTGTTTCAAAGTAGAATTTGGCTTGTAATAACACTAAAAAGGAGAGGCAGGAAATTACTTAGCTGTGGTATTTTGCTTCTTTATAAGTCAGAAATCCATCTTGCCTTTCAAGTAAGGCARGAGATGGAAGCTGATGCTGCAGCTGTAAAATCTCACCTGTAACCCTGGAAATCAGCCCACCTTCCTTRTTTTGCAAATATTCAGCAACCAACTTATAGCAAAGCACACTTTTTAAGYAGGGAACTACATTCCCAATGAAGCTTGTCAAGGATTTCTGTGTAGAAATGGAAAGAACTTGAAACTCCTCTAAGTAAGAACATAKTTGGTCTTGATTTTCCTCCCATCTCTTAATTACCAAGATTAATATTATGGGGGACAGACAATTTTTTTTCCAAAAGACTGGTCATCAAGGTGCCAGGGCTATATGTAAAATACCTCTCATGCCATGAGCTGACATAAGAATGGGGAGGAGAAAGGACAGGATGGGAGAAACATTTGGCCACCACAGTGAGAAGTATTGCATGGAACTTGAAAACTGAATTTTCTGTGGAATAACTGGTGATTTTTATACCTACCAAAGGAGGAACCTAGTACAGTCTAGCCATGTTTCCAGTACACTTTGGACTCTTATTTACATTAYCAGTGCTGACTAATTTGTACTTAACTGCCAGTGACAGGGATTTCCAGTCACCCTGCAGGATGCACTCTGCTTACTCTGCWCCTTGGTTTTTAACATCTAACAATTGCCTGTCTTTTGTCTGGGCTGATGATCCTCATGCCATTCTTCTAACAGGTAGAGAGTGAATTGAAGCTGTGCTAATTAGGATATGCAGTGTCTATTGCCTTATCCATTAAACCTGCCAAACATTGTTAACCCTGTAGTAAGGATGGAATCTAAACAATGCTTGAGCAAAATGGCACTGCACAGAACTTGCAGACAAATGAGAACTCTGTAAGCTTGCAAYGTGCTTCTCTGAGAACTGCCCATGTCTATCTAATGCTTGTGTATTCTTGTCTGCTTTGTTTTTTTCCTGCCTTCCTGGCTGGCGTCTGTTAGCTTTCTCCAAGCCCAACTCCTGCTACTCAGAGCCCCAAGAAACCTCCAACAAAGGACCCATTAGCGGATCTTAACATCAAGGATTTCTTGTAAACGATCAGGTATTCTGTRGCTGCCTGCTCGAGCATGTCACACTGTGGTACATGTCTGGCACACAGATGTTTAGGTTGAATATGACGGATAAAATCACAGCTGTGGAGATAGAAACATGCACTGTAATGAAAACCAAATTATCTGTCTGTACTCTTAACTTGAGCCTGGAAGCTTAACTCTTAGCTACTTCTTTTTTTTGGCCAAAAGCAACTGTCAGGAAAAGTTACGTTCAGTGTATAACTTCCATTTTTACCTTGTTTCCATTCAGTCCAAGGATTCCTGTTTGGTTTTTCCCCTGAAATTAATTCTGAAACATGTAGAATGATAACAGGCTACAAATACTGGTGGGGGGAAATGGTGCTGAAGAGGCTTGTTCCAGTCTTGTGGGTGTTGAAACAGATWTGGTATCCTAGGTGTGAAGGTATCAAAAGGGGAGAAACTGACACATTCTTGTCATCAAGGGAAGGTTGTTTGCATCTCTTTACTGCTGCCAGCTATGTTCTCCCCTGCCATACAATTTTTCAAGGCACTTATTTTCTGAATGTTAAGGCCATGAGGTCTTGGGCAGTGCTGCATAGAACTCAACAGGGCAGAACAGAGGAGCAAACACACAGAAAAATGGAGTAGAAGCAAAAAAAAAACCAGTACTGCATAATGTAAGGAAATAAAAAAAAACCATTATTCTGAGAGTTTTAGAGGGCCAAGTAGAAATATCAAATTGAATCAAGCACTTACGCAATTAAAAAGTAATCATGCAGAAGAAAGGTAGGCATTTTATAATTAAGATTAGAATAAGGTGAGRAGAGGACAAACATTACATAACTCTAAAGCCTTCTTCATGAGTCACTTCTCTTCCTTCCTAGAGCTTAATTCTAAAATTTRTTCTGAGCCCACTCTGCACTGGAGCTGGCAGCAGTGGATGGGATTCAGGCTGCTCTTAGCAGGCATCACCCAGTCCCACTTCATCCTTCTCCAAATTCCAGCCCCAGGGAGGTGTACCTGGCACTTGGCAGAGATGGCCAGGAGCAGAGATACTCCTTCACTGCTGGGACTCACTGCTTTCAACTCATATTTGTAATAGAGAGATTCATAACTGCCTGTGGGAAGATTGCTGCTTCCCTAGAACCTGATAGGTGTGAAGAGATGAGCAGATTTGGTGCTCTTTCCAGAATGTGCTGTACTAACCCATTGTATCAGTTTTCATCTAATACTTTTCTGTATTCACAGCTGCGGTTTTTCTGACTGGATGCTAAAAATGTGAGTCTGGAGCCTACAAATGGATGCTCAGAGTTTCAAAGTGAGCCACCAGTACCAAACCCAGTGCTTACTCAGACTTTCTCTTCCTCCTGAAACGTGTAGCACAGCTGTGAAAGTGAACATTAGGAATGTGTACTACCTTAGCTGTTATCCCTACTCTCTCGAAATTTGTGTACTTGGGTTATTTGTGTTTTACAATTTAAACAATGGATGTATGTTTCTGATGCCTTCTAGTGCTTTTCTGAACCTATCCCATGGGGGCAGATTATGCAGCTGTTGTTTGGTGAGCCATTTGGAGCAATGTCTGTGGTTTTTGAAGGTTTCAATGTATATAACTTTTTGAGGACACCCAAAGTTTCCCTAGGACTCAATTTCTCCTTTATCTGTTACAAAACATAGTGTGATAATACCAGATAGTAAAGAAAATACTTACAAAATTGTGCAGAATACCTTTTTTTTTTCTGGTCACAGGATTCTCAATTGTTGTGAAAAAAAATGTTTTATTTTTGTGGCACTGTATATGTTAAAATAATTTAARGTAATATAAAGGAAAACTTCCATAACGAATACTTTTTCGATGATTTACCAAGAATGAAAAATCATATCTGAAAGAATACCATATTTATTGCTGTTTTTATTTTCAAATCGATTTTATTTATTTAAGTTTTTGCATTTATAATTGGCATATTTATCAGTTCTTGCTAAATGCACTGAAAACAAGTAAAGGGTCAGTTTCTCTCCATATAGTTGGGAAAAGGCAACCATAGTCGTGCTGGCATTAAGGGATTTCAAATACGAGAGCACTTTTTGGTATATCTGTAGTCGAAACATTACAAGTGATGTTGCTCATCTCTGTTCAGTTCTCCGTACATCTCTTAATTTAGTGCTTACCTGTGTATGCCTTAGGATAGTGTTTTCTCATTGCCCCGAATGCGCTGTGAGTAGCTTTTGTACTATTGGTGATTAGATTTAATTCTGATCCAGAGATCCATGCCCTTTACTGTACATACTGTGTTTCTTTAATTTTTATTTGTTCTCATACTGTTTCTGCTGATGGCTTGGTGTAAGATCTCGACTCTTCAATGAGGTCACTGTTGATCAGTGTTACAAGTGGCTTGGCAGTTCTCTGTAAAAGCGTATTGGGTTGGAAAGATATTCACCTAAAGTCTTTCAAATGAGCTATTTAATCAATGTATGGTACCATTAAAAGTGGTTGTATCTGAATTTGCTGTGGGGATAACATACACTGTAATGGGAAAGTTCTATAAAAAGATGATTTCAAAATGGCTTTTCTTTGTATTTCAGTTTAAAAAAAAAACCCMRAMMAAAAAAAMMCCCAAAAAACAAAAAACCCCAGTGCATGTGTGCCCTCTGAGATGCAATAAACACCTTGATCAAAGTAAACATCTTGTTGCCAGTTTCCTAATAATTAAGATGTTGAGCACAATAATGTACTTTGCGAGGGGAGAACTGTGTTTAGGACCTGACACTGATTGATGAGTCTGCTGCATATGGAAATGACTTTTATAGAATCATAGAATCATTTAGATTGGAAAAGACATAAAAGATCGTAAAGTCCAACTCTTAACCTAACGCTGCCAACTCCACCCCTCATCCATGTCCCTAAGGGCCCCATCTATAGCTTTCTGCACTTGTTACACTGATTTTACAACCAATTAATTACCAAGTGTGTGCTAGAGSATTGTTTTCTATAGTTTCTTTTATGTATCTGAATAACCCCATGAGTAGTTCCATCTCACTACCRTTCCCAGCTGTTTTCAGCTGTGCCCAGTGTATGGCAGCCAAGGGTAGGAATATCCCTTGAGCCTCCTGGGCACAGGGAGTGCCCCGGGACCATAAAGGCCTTCCTTGGAAGGGTACTGGGTAGAGGGGTGGGGCAGGGCTACACTTGGGGGACCCAAAACCCCCATGTCACAGTGCCACCACCTGGCACCACAATGCCCCAGGGCAGGATRCAGGGGACATTGATTTTATATCTCAGCTTATGATGAGCTCTCTGTTGYATCCCAGTTTGCTGGATTAAGAATGGGTAAGGCTCAGCAAATCTCTGTTTTCTCAGTATTTGAGCATGAAGACCTGAATAAGGTCAGTAATTGCACCCGCAGAAAGACTCACYATGGTTTTTCCTACTCTGCCTGTGTTCTGTCTTGCCAAACACAAGGAACGCTTGACTTCTTACCACTGTTGTGTGTGTCTTCTCTGAGGACAGCATTTTCAGAGGAGAATCATAACCAAACACRTGAAGATATTTGGATCAGTTCATTAGTGTCTTGCTCAAATTGAGATGATGAGCTACTACTCACTGAATTGCATATGAATGTTTTCAATGTCACACGTTTCAAGTGAGGGTTTTCTCCTTGCAGGGTACATGTCCCTGCCACAGAGTGACTTTCTGCATTAGCTTCATCCATGTCCACAACCCTTGCTCCTCATTTTGGCTGGTCTTCTGTAGGTCTCATGGCAAACAGCTCAGTATGTATGTGTGATTTTATCCAGTGAGCAAATAGAAGCCTGGGCCAAAAGGAAACTGGTGTAAGAGCATCTAGAAGCTTATTCACCATGGGAAGTAAAACCAGTGTATTTCCCCAAATGCTGACTAAGGCTAAACAAAAAAGTGACTCGCTGTCCCTGGCACAAAAGAATTATAAAATCTGGCTTGCAAGGCAACCACGTGTTTGTCTCCTGGCCTGTAGACAAGAACATGTTCTTRTTATCATCTGAGTCTCAACATCCAGGCACGAACGTGTCTGTGTCCTGCTATGACTAACCACTTTTCAATACAAGCTGTAGGGGAGAGTGGGTGGGAAGGAGGGCTCCCATCTGTGGAAAGAAGAAACTGTCTCCTTCCCCTGCATTTTTCATGAGGGGAGGACAGATTTCAGACAGCTGATATGTCCCTTATCCCAGTTCTTGCTCTGTGTGCTGGCTTATTTAAAAGCTGGTACCTCTGGCCACATGAGGCTTTTGTAGCTTCCCCCTTAAGCCATGAGTGCCCCAAGGAATGGTAAATACCTGGAGAACCTGAATTCAGCTTACTGTAAAGGTTTGAAAAAAAGTCCAACTCATTCTGCAGAATTTACTCTTTTTTTTTTTAAAGTTTGGAGTTAGCATTTCCTCCTAATGAGTTGAACGTTTCTGTACTGATGCTGATGTTTCCACAGATGGAAGCTTGGAGGATGAGAACTAAATTATTGCCTTCTAAGATCCTGGGAACTACCTTAGCATCTCAGGCTGGTTGCACAGTCAAGCTGCTACCTGAACTTCCATTCTTAAAATTTAGTAAGGCAGCTGCAAAGGCTAGCGACTTGCCTTGAAAACAAGCAGGAAAACCAAGAGCAAAAGGTGTTCTTGGGTGGGGGGGAAGAGAGGGAAGGAAGGGAAGATTTTCTGTGTAAATGCGCTTGTGACTTCAATATTAAGAGGTACATCTTACTGCCACTGGGCAGGCAGCATCTAGATCAGGAAATGTCCAGTAGCCACAGCTGACACTGTTTTGTCTTTGTGGCAACCTTTGCTTCTGCCTTCCTTCCCATCTCTCATCTCAGAATAAGAGCTGCATGGTAACTTACTGTGCATGGGGGAGAAAAAAATCCCAAGAATTCTTAATGCCYAGGCAAGCCAACTGAAACTTGGCATGGTAGAAATAGTGGCAGTGACACAAAGATAATACATTGAGACTGATTCAGATCTTCCAGAACCTGAAATACCAGAAATTTTATTAAAATAGAAAATCTTTTTTTCCATGTGTTATATACTGCTGATGCTGTGAGCAGTGTGGGAAGTGGCAGACATGGAGTGGTAATGAGGGGCTGAAATGAGAATTTCAGAGATGGGACTACAGAAGGAGAGAGGCTCTACATATTTTAAAGCAGACAGCACTGCTATTTTTTCTGCTCCATGTCTTGGCTCCTAAAGCTTCACCACCTCTTCCCTTTCCCTTAGTTAAACTCTGCAAGTGCTGTGGGCAGCAGAAGCCCAATGCTTGTTTCGTTGCCCAAGACATCTCTGCATGCAATTAGAGGGGTAAGAATAGCAGCCTTTGGGAGTCAGCGAGGGCGGGAGGCCAGAAACAGAAACTGAAACCARTGCAGAAATGTGTGCATGGGTGTGACATCCACTGCGAGGACTGAAGAGAGCAAACCTCTTCTCTGATGGTGTTGGGGGACCTGTGCAAGGATTGGTGAATGTCTGCCCTACACAGCACCGTAAAGCACCTGCATTCACATGTTCATGGTTGAACATGGAGAAGTTTGAGTCATATTTTCAAAATAGAGTTTGTGATGATGGAAGAGATTTCTCCATATACCTCAAYATCACAAAACCCTCAAATAGTCATCCTTTTCAGAGGTCCTGCCAAAGCACTATYCCACTCTGTTAGAAGCAGAGATTGCACATTGCTAAGTGCACCAGCAGGTACTTTGAAACACGTGCTGCAAAATCTAAGCCAGCCTTTCAGACTTAAATTGGTAGCTGGAGGCAGGTTCATTGTTATAATTTGTGAAAGTGCAGAGGGACTGGTGGGATTTGTGACACAGGGTRGGAGGGACCATCCCCTGCCCTCTGGAGAACATCCATAGTCTTTGTGTGTGCTTTTGCCCGTCCAGGCTGGAGAGAGGTGACTGTGGGAGCAGAGATGGTGTTACACTAAGGAGGGGAAAGGGGAGAGGGATGGGATGGTTGTGTGGGGGACAGATGGTGTGGTTTTGGGGCTGCAGGTTGTCTGTAACTGAGGAATGGGGTGGGCACTGGAACATTGTGGGCACAGAGTGACCCCAGGGAGGGGGCAGCTGTGCCCTCAGCTTTGTGAACTGCTGCAGGCCTGCAGTGTGGGTATTCAATGTCTGCAAAAAGATTTTGTGTACAAGAGCAATTTACAGCTGCAAGCAGACACCAAGCTTTAAAAGGAACAGCATTTCGTATTCTGAATGTATCTATGTATAAATAGAAGGGATTTTTTTTTTAATCCTACAGAGATGCAAGAGTGGGAAAAGTTAAATTCTGAAGTTAATTTTAAGATTATGCCTTATGTGTCTACGATGTGTCTGTAATTATACCCTGTCAGTCTGGGCTGATCAATCAAGAGGGTTTTAAGTGATTCTTCCTTTCTGGAATGATCCCACACTGTCTCCAGTCAACTGAAAGAGCAGTATTGAATTTGTTTTGAAAAACATCACAAAGGAAAAGAAATAACTTCTCTTTTGAATTGTGGAAAAACTGAGTTTAGCAGATTAACAAAGGAAGAAAGAGGAGGAAAATAGTAACACTGAGACCAGCATACTGCAGAAATAAGATGGTCTTACTATATAGATTCTGGCTTAGGTAATAGAGCATCTCTGATTCTGCCTTTGCACAAAAGTTCACAGGGCTGCAGCCACTCTGAGGTTCTGGTTTAGAATCTATTTCTGTGGACACCCTTTTGAAAAGACAGAGCACATMATTTCCTTCATGTTTGAAAAGACARGTTTCAGGCAGTGCATTGAAATCCCCACTTCCCAGGTCACCTCCATCCCATCCTGACAGTATCCAGCACCTATCTAACATCCCTGCTGGGAGGAACGGACACATTGAGTTTTCCCAGCTCTGTATTTTGTGGGACATAAGCTATCCTGATTTTAAACATATATTTAAATTTACAAAAAAAAATATAGATAATTAAATTCATAAAGATTGCAGGTAGCTGGTGACYTTTCCTTGCTGCTTGAGTCCCAAGCATTGCAGTTCTCTTTGTGAAAGTCTTCAGTGTTGTGCCTGAATTACCTTCCTGTCACTCTCAATTCAGAAATKGTATTGATGGAAATGCAGCTGCTTGCCTCTTTTTGTTTTGTTCAAGGTTTGATTGTGTAGAATTTGCTCACAGAACCTTTGGCTCCAAGGCAAATYGTGCTGGAAACGCTCTTCTCTCTCAAAATATTTGACTGCCTGTGATTCCTGTAGGATGGCTGAAATGTTTTACTGCATAAGGTGTGGTCGAGGCCCAGACAGGGAGAGAGGCAAGGCAGTGTTCAACACACTGAACCTAATTTTGAATTATATAAATTTTTAATTGATATAAAATCTCCATTAACTGCAGTTGTATAGACACCACCCAGCAGGGCATCTGGATTCCTGCATAGACAGTTTTTAAGAATCTTCCTAAACTTTTGTGAAATTAAATCAAGCTTGTTTGGATAATTTTTTTTTTCTCTTTTGAACTTTATTTTTAAAAATCCAAGACATGCAGATGAAAACACCTTGTTACCATTGTCATTGCACAGACAAGAGAGTTGTTCTGCAAGGATTTACAGAGACCATACAATA